TTCTCTCCAGACTTTTAACAACTGTCTTGTACTGCACGGCAGCTCAAAAACATATATTTCCTTTTGCAAACAGGTGTTTTAAAATTAATCCTCACAAATTTGTGAGAACATTTAATAAAAGTATATGTGCAGTCAGTATGCCTCTGGAACATGTGCTGTGACAAATGGGTTTGTGCTGGATGGTAGTGCATTTAAATTCTTTTATTTCTGATCGAGCTTTCATAATAAAAATATTTTTGTTATAATACAGTTATAGTCAGTGATAACTATGATCTCAGAGTATCTGACCAGACAGACAAGCCTCTTCCAAGGAAAGGGGGAATTATCTTTTGAGTGAATGAACAGACAAGGGTGTGATTCTTGTAGCTAGCAAAACCTCTTCTGCTAAGAGTTAGCAAGACCCAGTTGAGACAGCTAAGGCTGAGGTGCCACAGGCCAAGGAATTGGTTCCTGGCACATCTCAAGCTGGTTCCCAGTGGTCAAGCAACAGACAGCAGGGTGACAACACCCTGGGATTGTCTTAGAAGTGCACCTGGCCAAATCTGGGCTCTGAGTGTGTCACACTGGCAATTAAACATTTCAGACCCTAGTCCTATCAGATGTTTAAAATAGTACTTAAAATTAAAAAGGGAAATTTAAAGCCACTTTGCAACCCACACCTTTAGAACACAGTGACTGAAACATGTTCAAACACCCCTAAAATCTAAAAAATCGTATGTGGGTTTACTAGAAAGCTTAGTTATTTCAACCTTCCATTTCCTAGCAACTATTAACTAAGAGGGGACCAAAATAGAAAAAAAAAATGGTTTACTGTACAACTAAACAGACTCTTAAAATAAAAATGCACAGAGAAAACAGAGTATTCTACATCTCAACTGTGATAAGTGTGCTTAGGCCTTGATTTTTCAGTTGTGACTGAGAATTTAGTGAAGCTTAGAAGGAAGGGGCACTAAAGCTGAGAATACTTGATCATGTGGGTTATTTTTCTAATGATGCATGAAAAGCGAATAACTAACTTTAAACTGCCAGGTGAGTGAATATGTACATAGCTGGTAGTTGGAAAACATTTTACTTTGAATCCAAGTAAACTGGATATGGAACCACAAAGGCACAAACACGATGGTCCATTCTTACAGCACAATTTTTTGGAGTGGCAAATTAAGAGCTTGATTTAGAACATTTGTCAAACAGAGAAACTTTGCTAAACAGTCTGGAATTAACAGTAACTTCAGGAAGAATGTGCATATGTAACTTTACTATGCAAAAATCATTGATTAACGTACAGCTCTCTTCCTCAGCAGGGAAGTGTTAGGAATACCTCACTTCATTCACCTCTTTTGGGATATAAAAGACTAGTATGAATGGACTCAATACAATAGTGCTTGCTCTGATTTATGGTGGAAAGAGATCTTTAAGAATCTAGAAAAAGAGGATTTTCTCTACTTCCTTTTCAGGATAGAAGTGTAAATTTAATGTAAGGATCTGCATTGGATTACTTCAAACCAGGAGTCAGCAACCTATGTCTCATGTCCAAATTCAGTGCATGGAAACTTTGGATCCAGCCTGCAGGTGTGTGGTTTTGGCAACACCTGGCTTCAGGGATAAATACCGGTGGCAGGTACTCTCCCCCCATGCCGCTGTGGCTATGAACACCAGCTGCTGCTGTGTTCTAGCACTCAGCTGCCTCCAACCTAGGGTAAGTCATTCCAGCCTGCAGCCAGAAAAGATTTTCTACCCCTGCTTTAAATGGCAAGAGTGATCAGAATAATTGTATAAAGTTCCACATAGTGCTGTGTCAAAGCTCTCTCTAAAATCAAGCACATTTTTGGTGAAAAATTAACACTAGTGACAAATCTGTACGTAGGAAGATAAGATAGGCAAGTACACTGCAAATATATACTTGTGTTTTAAAAAGAGAAAAAACTGGATGTTTACTGCAATACAAAATTAGTAAGAATTTACATATCTTAGTAACTGGAACTTTTTCATGCAATCAAATAGAAAAGGTAGATTCCTATCTAGCTTAGGATATTTGTCCCCTGCTACGTCAGTGGAGTACTCAACAGAACCAGAATTACTTCATCACTTTATAGCTTCAGACATAACCAGGGCATAAATGTCTTGATGATGTACTGAAATGCATTAATACTGCATCTCTTCAACTATACTCCTCTGCTCCAGCTTGGGAAGAAACATTTCTCCTCAGGCCTTCCACCTTCTTTGGCTAATGAAGTGAATGGAACCCTACCCAGTTTTCCACATATATGCATGCACACATGCATTCTTTCAAATTTCATGTTTTGAAGGTAGGCATAAGAAACTGCAACTTTCCCCACCACTGGTGGAATATCCAAGTGCACTGGGATCACACAACAGTGAGGAATTCTACATTCCGGGCTAGGTGTGCATGTTAAACAGAAGATGGAACAGAACTGAAGTATGAGACCTGAATTAGTTGGTCTCGACTAGACTACAGTATTAACTTTTTTAACAGCAAACATCTTTCCCCCACCAGTACAAATTCTCTAGCCAGAGAAGCTGCTTTTTCAAAATTGAGATTTCAGAATTTGAATTGGTCTGTTTGGCTATACAAACTTGTCAATTTCTCCTTTTTCTAATGCACAGAGTCCTCTTCCTTGCCTTCTTTCTGAAGGGCTGTTGCTCTACCAAGTGAATTTAAGAGTGTGAAGGCTCCTCTCCAAAGTGTTTCCCCATGCCCCTGCCAAAATATCTTGTGCCCAGCTCTGCCCCCTGCTGAGCCAAGCACAGCATTAGAAAAAACAGACAATGGGGTGGCAGAACAATGGGGTAAATGGGTTCACGTATCTACCTGCCACAGTACAGCTTGGATAACGTTTTACAGAGAGGGTTTAAGTGTGGGATTGTTCTCTTAACCTGGATGATTACTAAAAATGCTGGGTGATTTCCTCTTTGGTCTATCACCTCCCCCATGTCTAAGGGATCCATGCAGAAGACTCTCTCATGATGTTTCAGCTCAAAATCTCTGGTGCATTCTGATAGAGGCAGAGAACATGAGTTAGGAGTGGTTTGCTACTTAGGCCACTGGCAAACATTTGTCTTCAGGTGCAATGGGATCTGATCCCCAATCCCCAAAATTGTGCCTCTGACCAGGCCACACATACATGGCAAGAGGCACAGTTTTGGGATAGGGTGCGATTAGGATCTGTTCCCCAACTTGCCAGTGCAGGGGCAGCCCAGGATCATGGTCCCAGGCTCACCCTGCACCAGCAAGTTGAAAGCCAGTGCCCAACAATTAGCTGGTTGTTCGCTGGCTCTGGGATTGCAGCAGGGCTTGAATCAGCCCTGGTATGGCCCCTTAGCTGGTGAATAGCTGTTCATCACCGGGACTGGGATCCCACTGGGCTTCAAAGTGGCCCTTGTGGGGTCCCCAAATCAGCCAATGACTCTCTGGTGGTTCTGGGGACTGCACTGGGGGTGGTTTGACCACCCAACTGGTCAATAATCATCTGATTTTCTGCCTGCTCAGGGACTGCACTAGGGCTGATTTGAGCCCTGATGCAGTCCCAATCTAGCTGAAGGTCAGCTGATTTTTTCCTGGCTCCAGGGACCACACTAGAAACAATTTGAGCTTTGGTGCAGTCCCAGATCCAGCAGACAATTGATTGTACCATTACTTGCCTGAACATGTGACCGGGTTACTATTTAAAGCATAATTAACAAACTAACTGCATCTTAAGTGTAGCATCTGCCAGGGACCCCCTGACAGAGAAGCCAAGCAGGCTTATGAAAAAAAAGAGCAAACTAGCTACTGTACTCTATTTCAGTTCCATCCAAAAACTGTTTCTGCAGTACGGCAGATGCCCAGCTTGCTTTATTACAGCACACTCCAACCCTAGAAAAGACAGGAGCTGATGGATGATATTATAGCACCCCACAAATTACGAAGCAGTGAATAACTTCAGGAATTCTTTAGTTCTGCAGTTTTATTTAAGCTTGCAATTTCTAATGTCATCATACTATCCAGGGCCACCTCTCAGGGCCTACTGAAGATTTCTTTGGTGCCACAGATTTGTTTAACCAAAAAAGTATAAAAAGCAGCTGATTCATGTTCACTGAACTAACAGTTTTTAAATCTGTTACATAAATTTCTTTTCACAAGTTACTTGAGAACTAGGATTAGGAGATCTTTTACCCAAAACTTTACATGACCTTTGTAGACATACAACTGATTCTGTGCTCAACTATTTTTCTTAAAATGGCTATTAATTATAAACATATTTTAACCTATATTTGCTATGGAAACAAGATAAAGTGAAAATATACTGAAGACTTTAAAAGAATGATGATGCGATTTTCACAATTAAAATTCTATTAAAAATAGAAGCCTAGTGCCACAAAAGTTAACTACAAAAATGACAACATTTCAATTACAGAAGTCACACAGATAGTGCTATACAATAATGCACATTTACATGCCTAGGAGTGTCAATTGCTTAACTAAAGTTGTTCAATGTTAACATCATATACAAACACTTTCAATTTAAATTTTCAAAGTTATATCAGTGTCCAGAACCAAAGAAAAAACCCTTTAAATTCTCAATGACAAACTGAATGGATGTCATACAATAATTAAAGTTATACATATTTTAAGAAAGAATACTGCAATACATACATACATACATACATACATATATATATATTTACCTATCCCAGGGAACAGATGTCTCAAATGATTCTCCTATTATATAGTAATCCAAGCCCAGATCCTATTAAAGCAGAAAAAAAGGAGACAGACCAATGGATTAGTATCCGGACATAAGCCCAGAGATCTAATTTAGTTTAGGTATCTGATAGTTATAAACAATGCATAAGAGCATTATTTTCACATGCAGAAAATAAACTTGGCTATTTACATGTATCCACTTTACATTTGTCAAAATAAAATCAACTAGATTTTGTACTGGGATTCAATTAAGGTTTTAAATATTTGGAACAGCACTACATGGGATTAGTACGGAGGTTTTTAAGACTTGGCTAGACAAAGCCTTGACTGGAATGATATAGTTGAGGATGGTCCTGCTTTGAGTAGGAGACAGGACTACACGACTTCCTCAGGTCCCTTCCAAACCTAATTTTCTAGGATTCTATGAGCAAAGCATTTCACTTTAAGCAAACAGTACCAAATTGAGTGCAGAGAGAAAGTTGCTGCCATCTGAGTTCCTTGGTGACCTGTGTTAAATTAGTAAACTTGCTCCTACTCCTTAATGAACAGGTATATTCCAAGAGTAATGACTACAAAAATGAACAACTTTGTTGGCCATCTCAGAGGGGGCCATTAAATACAACCAACTTCTCAGGCTTAGAGATGTTTTTTTCCCCAAGTCACACCCTTAGAAAAAGAAAAATGCCAAAACCTGCAAACACAAGTGGTTACAGGACTTCAGTTGCCAAGATTATGCAGCCAGTGTGTTTTAACAAGTATTTCTCAACTTGTGGGTCGCAAGAATATTTGAAAGGGTCGCAAGCAAGTCCCAGAATAATGCAGGAAAGATGGGAACATGGGTTACGCCAGCCTGCAGCGAGCTGCTTGGGGGAATGGGAGGCAGTGGGTGCACCTGTGTCTGAGTGCACACATGCACATAGCCAGGTAGGGTATGGGAGCAGCCCCAGCAGTTGGATGCAGGTAAGCATATGGGGAGTGGGGGTTAGAGGACCAGGGCTTGGGGACTGTATGTGTGCATGGGTGTGGAGGAGATGGGTGTGTGAAGAAGGGCAAGTGCCTGCTGGCACTGGGGGGAAGGTGGCCAGGTGCTGAGGCTGCATCAGGGCAGGTGTTGGGGGAAGGCGTCTGCCCCTCCAGTGGGGTCAGAGGGCAGCTGGAAGTTGCATGGCTTGGCTGGTGGCACCACGGCCGATGACCGTACTTGCAGGGGCTGGGTGGCTGGAGACACTGCTTGGGGGGTGGGAGGCACCATGACCAGGCTACCTGGCATGGCGTGGTAGCCCCAGCTGCTACAGGTCTCCCCCTTCCTCATCCGTCCAGTTTGCACTGGGGCTGGACTCACTTTGTTGCTGCCTGCATGAGCCAGAGCTCCTGCAGCCACCGCGCTCTAGCCTGAGCTGGGGAGGGGCAGCTGAGGCTCCCCTCTGGTAGGGTTGTGGAGAAAGGGGGCTGAATGTTGGGACTGAGGGGCACCAGCGTGGCCTGGGGTGGTTGGGGACTGTGGCTGGGAAGTGAGAGCACTAGCAAAGCCAGGGGGCTGTGGGTGGAGTGTGAGGGGCAGCCAGGGGGCTGTGGGTCAGGACTGGCCATCAATGCTTACAAATGGGTCCTGGTACAAAATGTCAAGAACCACTGTTTTAACAGCATCATATTTATATAAATATTAAAAAAAAAATCTAGATATACATCTAGCAGTGACGTAAACAGTTTCATATAAGAAGTTATATCTTCAGTGTTACCAGATAGCATTCTTTTGTGATGTTATTTTGGTTTCAGGAACACTGCAAGTTTCGGAAGTGTTAATCAAATGTACTGAGTACAGTGGAGTCGCATCATACACACATTTAACTTACGCAAATTCATCATACGCGTATGCCCCTGACTGCCGATTGTTTGGATTCAGCTTGCAGCTGCCCCCCGCAGTGCTGTGCATGGGGCCAAGCAGCTATATTGGGAGCAGCCCTGCTGGGAAGCTGCACATGCTGGCCGGGCGGGAGTTTAGTGCAGGCTGCCCTGGGCAGGAAGGAGGGACTGTACCGCTGGATGGGGGAGGGAGTGGACTGTACCACTGGGCAAGCCCAAGTGTAATTTTGACTATACGCAATTTTCACCTTACGCGCTGAGTTTAGAACCTAACCCCTGTGTAAGATGAGACTCCACTGTATTGTTACTGAACTTTCAAAAAGTACTTTTCAGATCTTTACAAATTAAAGCAGTAGCATCAATCTTTCAGGACTGGAGCCTAACAGGTTTAAATAGTGCAGCTAATTACACAATCATGATCAGTCTCCTGAAAGTGACTTCATTTAAAAAAAAAATAGTTAAACTAAAAATTTGACCAGTAAACTCAAATGCAAAAAAATCCTATACAGTAAAGCAATTTATAGATAGTATCTGAATAATGAAAGAACCATACTACATGATACCAACCAACACAGAAAACAGAAGTCACTTCTGGTAATAAGCTTAGAGACAAACTACCACACAGGTAAGATATTTGAATTTTAAAAACTTAATTTTCAGAAATCCACGAAGATCTCTGAAAAATAAGCATAATCAATTCTTCAAATCAAATAACACCTTTTGTTTTTCTAATATTCTGCACTTGAGATTGACTGCCCACTAGAAAAATGTGGAAACAAGTATGAATTCTTAATTGTCATTTGAGTTGTACAAAAAATTGGGATCAAGACTAAAAAAAGAATATTTTTTCCTCCTCCAAACTAGGAAAGACAGCAACAAACTGAAGGTAGAAATAAGACTGAGCAATGTTACAGCAGAATCAGATTAATGTTATATATAGCAGGATCATATTAAAAGTAAGACACGAGTTGGCAAGGAAACATAGTTTCTACGTCATCACTGGATATTACCTAATTCAGAGAGGCATAAGCTTTTGTAGGCAACAAAGTATGAAAGCTTATACCTCTCTGAACCTGTCAGTCCCTCAGGTGCCACCTTGCCTTGCTTTCTGCTAGATGTAAGGCTAACACAACTATTTCTTTCCAATGATGGCTTGAGCCATCAATGGAAGCATGGGGAGGGAGGGAGGGAAAGAAAACAAGTAGGCCAACCTAAAAGAAGGATCTAAACAGAAGGGAAAGAAAAATACTAAGGCAGGCAAGAATAAAGGAAATAGCAAGCACTACAGATTAACAGTAAAAGGAATGTCTAAGTCTTGGTTTAAAACATGGTGTTAAAGTCCATAAACGCCCTGAACAAGTCATTGTCAGCCCCAGTCTGCCACAAAGTAAAAAAAGGAATGGAAAACAACTTCACTACTGGAATTTTATAAAACAGGATTAAGACTGCAAATGATTAAAGAATTTTACAGAAGAGAAAACTAGAGAAAATCTTGAAAAAGGAAGGTAGACAGAAAATGAAAGATGGCAAAAGTAGTGAATGCACAGACAGAACAGCAACGTGAAAACGAATCTGATAAAGTTATGTTTTCCATATAAACAATATCATTCACATGTCCACCTAAGAAAGGATAAATTAACGAATGAAGTAAAATGCTGAGTAAGTAGACTGGGTTCATACTGATGCAGGTGTCCACTAAGTATCTGATGTACATTATGTACATCATACCAAAAATATCAAGGTCCGGTGCTGCAGAAGACAGGATGTTACAAATGGAAATCCGTGTTACACTATAAAATAAAGTTTGCAGTCTTTGAACCATGGCATCAAGGTCAAATAGCAAAACCATATAATTTAGTCAAACAGGTTGCTTGCAGATGTTAAAAAAACCCCAAACCTGTGCTTTACTGAAAGCACCAGTGTGTTACTTTGACCCAGCTCCAGGATGCCTGTATAGATCGGGTGCTTCAGCAGGGCTTTTTGGCGATTTTATCTAATAGCAGATTCAATCAGCTATTAGATAAAAGTGACAAAAAAAGGCCTTATGAAATGCCTGACTATATAGATGTTGGGCAAAGTGGGTCCAGCTAACATGATGCCTCTTCTGGGGATGTGCTGGGCTTGGTGTGGGGCCACAGAGTTTAAAGTAAAGCACTATTTGTTTTTGTTTTTTTAAGTCAGCAAGCAGCCATAATTACACTCACATTCCTAAAACACCTACTACTGAAATTCTTGCATAGAATTTGCAAACTATTTTGCATGCATATAGAAACTACAGATAATTGTGAAAGGAAAACAAATTCCAGAAACATTTGAAAAGTTTCTGAAACAATCTTCCTATTAGGTCTTTGACAGAACTGTAACAGAATTATTGAGACAGTATTCAAAATCTTGTCCCACGTGGAGAAACACATCTACAAATGACAAACACAGCTATGCATGTGTATGCAAGGACAGAAAAAGGTTCAACATATTGAGGTATTAGAAATCTTCATACCAAGACAGAATTATAAACTAGCCATCAGTCTTTAAAGATGGGGCATCCACTGTCTGCTGAACACAACAGTTATGGAGTTTTTCTTCTGGCTTATTAGAAGTTCTCTGCACTATATATGAAAAATGACTTCCAGTCTTGTGCTTACACCATAGGTTTTACAGAAGCCAGAACTTCAATTCCTGAGAAGCACCCTCTTGCTCTACAGTGACTCCTAGAGACAAACAAGGAGTGGAAATAATAAGCTACAGGCCTTGCTGGACAGAGCTGGAAGGGTGAAATCAGAAAAGTTTCTGAAGAGATAGTATCAGAGATGGGGTAGGCTGCATCTGCACTGTAGAAGTGACTGCTAGAACTAGGAAGTGTTGATAGAGGACTGGGAAGACTTACGAAGATTTGAAGTAGCAGTAAGGCCATCTCATTTCTCAGTTCTGGGACTGGATAACAAGATTATAACGAACTAGTTAAAATTTTGGTGCAACAAGACTACAGGAAGGAAAGAATGTAGATATACTACACATCACCTGACTCGCAATTAACAGTCTGATTGGTTAGCAAATATATGATCAGCATTTTGCATGTTGAATACAAAATTAATTTAATTATTACCCACATATGTATAAAAAGATGTACAGTTTAGGAAGACTCTAGAACCACGTACCATTCCACCTGTTCCTTTGGTCAGCCACCCTGATCACCAGGGATCCGGGTTTTCCGTTTCTCATGGAAAAACAGAGATAACCCAACGATTTCCCCTTTTTGCAAGAGCTGTTTGAAAAAAGGGCAAGGAAACCCCCAACCCTGCCCAGAGGGGAAGGGAGAGGGGGAAGGGTGGGGCCCAATGCTCGCACTTACCTGAGGCTACTTCAGGCTCACTCTTCTTGCTGGAGGCAAGTGGGGCTTGGGAGTTGTGGGGCAGGTCTGGGGGGTGGAGGAAGCTGGCTAGGGGCTGAGGAAGTGGGAAGGTTTGCAGCCAGCCAGGCTCTCCGGCCAGGAGGGGGCTTGCAGCCTCCCTGCTCCTGGCCAGCTGCAACCACCCCATCGCCGCTGGAGTGCCCAAGCTGGCTTGGAGCTGAGGGAGCAGGGAGGTTTGTAGCCAGCCAGGCACTCCAACCAGGGAAGGGGTTGCAGCCGGCCCCCTCCTAGCCGGAGTGCTCAGCCAGCTGCAACCCCCCACTCCCCGATCCCTCAGCTGCTACCCAGCTTGGGTATTCTCCAGCCAGGAGGTGGGGTTTGCGGCACTCCAGACAGAGGCTGCAAACCCCCCCCCCCCTCCAAGCCAGAGTGCCTGGCTGGCTACAAACCCTGGGTTACAAACGCTGCGCTCCCCGCCCTGCTGCCCTCTCCCAGGCCCTCTGGAGCACAGCGTGTGCGACTGGCATGGCAGGGCACAGCAGGGTCACACACAGGAAAGTTGCTTGCTGTTGCAAGCTCCATGCTGCTATCGCCACACTTCCTGTGTGTATGGGGGCAGTGCAGGGTTGCATCCCTTGCTGCTGCTCTCCACCTCCAGGGGAAGCATGGCCAGGGCAGCATACTTGCAGCAGCAGGCAGCTTTCGTGCAAATCCCTACTGTGCACTGCCAAGCCGGGTTGCACACGCTGTGTTCCAGAGGACCTGGGGGAGGGCAGGAGGGTGGGGAGCATGAGCCTGCAGTGTGCCCTGCCCCCATCCCCCACAGACCTAGGAGGTGCAGGTCCCCTTTCCCCCTGGGTGTGCATGCTGCCGCCAGGAGCCAGCCCTGCCTGAACCTGCAGCAGGCAGGCAGCAGTAGGGGAGCTAGCTTGTGCAGCAGCCAGTTTTCACAGTTGAAGAGCCTCTGCACATCCCAATAAGGTCAATGATATATGAGAAGACTCAGAACCTCTTTAGTTTATCCATCTTACTTACAATTCAATTTCTATATCTGCATGGCAGGGTGGAGTGGGAGGGGAGTCCATCTTGACATGCAAATTAAAGTCTGTACAGCATTTTCAAAATGAAAGACAAGTTAATTGAAAGCTTTAGGTAAGAGTAGGAGATAGTCCTCAAAAGTAGCAATGACTTACCCGAAGATAAGCAATGACAAAAGTCAGCATGTACCCTCTCTGTCCATTATCTTCTCCAGCTGCCAGACCACTGCAATTAATGATAATATTATTTTCAACCAACCTATGCACAGATTTAAAATAAAAAGTAAACACTCAGCGGGATTGGGTGTGGGAGTTAATGTCCTTTATATTTGCTTGCCTATAAATTCAGCCTCAGGATGTAATAGACACACTATCTTAACATTAATTTCAATTTAGTGCAACTAGCAGAGTTCACCCATTATCCTTTAAGTCTGAGCTCCTGTATGTTACATATGTCAGCAAAATAGTGAATTAGAAAGACTAAACTAGGAACTTGGAGAATGCTATCAAGTGACAGTCCTAATAAGACATTACTCAGGTCTTTGTGATTTCTTAAGGATGGACTCACCAACTCATTGTGTCTATTTCACCCTAGAGCAGGGCTGTCCAACTTCTAAGCAGTAGGGGGCTGTATGCCCACAGGGCTGCACCAGTGGGGGCCACACGCTGGGCAGATGACTCCTCCCTCTCCATTGCTGTACCACGTGCCCATGCAGACCTGAGCTCACCCTCAACTCCACAACACCATTACGCATTTTACCATCCCACCCTCTTGGGTGGGCACAGAAAGCACCCCAGGAGGGAAGGGGAGCCACAGTATCCAGGCACTGTTGCAGGCAGAGAGTGGAGGTGGGGGAAGGGGAAATCAACCCCTCACAGGCCACATGCAGCCCATTGGTCACTAGATGGACAACCTTCCTCTAGAGCAACATACAGCAGTGTGAGATTTTATTAGCCAATTTCTATTAGCTCCTGTGTCCTTACTTCCTTTTTCCCCTCCCATAGTTCCTGTCCTCCCAGCCCCAGTTGCTCCTCACTCTGTTACACAAATTAAGTAGTTCCATTTCTCTGCACTATACCTCCCTCCCCCACAAAACTCTTTCTTGAACAGAATTAGTGCAAAGGATAGAATTGGAAGAGAAATGTTTAAAGCTAATAATTTTGTCATTTTCCATAATGACAATTTTCCTATTCAACAAGAAATATGATGACATTTTCTTCAGAGAATTTTATTAAGACTTGGTCTCTGTTAAGCTGACTCCCATCTTCTATATTTACCAACTTAAGAGACACCAGATTTTCAGAAAGTACTGAGTACCCTTCTCCTTTGTGGAGTCTGAAGATGAGCAAAGTATAATGGAAGCATTCCATGCCAGTCCCTTTTGACTATTTCAACCTAAATTCAAACCCTTGATTCTTTTTATTAACTCACAATTATTGTCATACACTAATTACTAGATCCAAGTTCTAAACCAGCAGTTCCCAATCTCTGGTATGCATACCACCAGTGGTACGCAGACAACCGGTCAGTGGTACATGTTAACACCTTTATTATAATTACTTTATATGACAAAAATTTGCTGGTTGTACTTAAGTTTGTATCATTTTAAATTGGTGGTGTGCAATCTGTCAGTTTGGGAACCGCTGATCTAAACTATGAAATTTAGAATGAATCAAGCTGTAAACACTGACCCAAAATACAATGCTAGTCTTTGCATGTCCACTGACTTTAAAAATCAATTATCTGCAAATATTCTTTCATATATTCTGTTTCCAGAGAACATAAAAGGGTTAACAAATTTCAATATGCAAGGGTATTAAACAGGTAAACTTTAAACCAAACTCCAGTCTTTTTTTATTTGATTTCACAGGAGGTTTTTGTCTGGTCAGCGATTGGTATTCCTAGCTGTGAAGGGGGCAATGCACACAGTGCTTCTGTGGCTGGAAGCCCTGTCAGCTGATTGGCGCTCCCAGCTGTGCTCCTCCAACTGGGACTTCTGATCAGCTGACCACTAAGCAGTGTTCAGCAGGCTGGGAGCATTGGCCACACATTCAATTAAAAGGCACGAAAGGAACCAGCGACACTGCTCTTGGGCCGATCTAGAAGACGCAGTGCCGAGCCAGCATGGAGGGCTGTTATAGAATGGCATCACTTTGTCATTTACTCTTAGTGTTATCCCACTATTAATGGAATGAATGTGTGGCTACACCAGGGGTCTTAAAAACAGCATTATTAAACTGGGTTCCAAATATTCACATGGAAGAGGGCTCAGGGACTATATTTCTCTGAAATACAGGGAAGCAGCAGGAAAGTCTTGGAATAGTATGTTCACTTTTGCCTACTCTCCTTATTTTTGCAAATTTAATCTATTAACTTCAGTTTTATCTACTGCCCTTAACAAATAATAAAACTGCTTAAGTACAATATACAAGAGAAATCAGAACAATCAGGAATATAGAGTGATGGATAGTTGGATGAACTTTGTTTTCTGATTAATTTTATGTTCTAAAGAGGCAATTTCCCCAAAATCATACTTTATACCTTTTTCAGCTGCAAGACAAAAAGCTCATCATTGCAAAGTAATATGAAAAGTATAAAAAACCCTCCAACCCTCTGAAGAAGAGCATAAATAAAGGACCTCTGCCTATGTAGTTTTGCTACAAAGTTAGGAATGATTCTCTAAAGCAGTGGTTTTAACCTGTGGCCCACAGACTCCACCACTAACTCCATTTTAGTAATTTAACTTATCCAGATTTTTAAGTGCTTCATAACCTGCTTGTTAGTAAATTGTCAAACAGATTTGGAAGCTTCTTGTCTAAAGAAAAATAATGAACTGTATCAATTTAAACTCTGACAAAGGTTTCTCTCCTCAAAATGTGGTAAACAATAATGACAAACAGGGATCCAGGTTTTCCCAACTGCCATAGAAAAAAACATGGTAGAACCTGGATTCTCTCATTTTAAGGAGAAAAAGCAGGAAGTGGTGGGTTTCCGGCCTGCAAGGGGCTGGGGGGAGTGAGAGAAGGGTGATCAGCATCAGCAACATGTGAATGCGCGCATGTACACAAGCACATGGTCGCCAGGCAGCCTGCAGAGCATCTCCCTACATGCAAGTCTAGTGGCAGGGGGAGTGGGGAGAGAACTGAGGCCCCCATAGTGAGGGAGGGAGAGAGTTAGGCAGGGCTGGGACTAGGGCTGCTGCATGGGACTTGGGGCATGGGGCTGGAATCCGAGGCCACAATGCCAGGGCAGGGAGCAGGGCAGGGCCACGGGCAGCTCAACCAGGGGGCAGTGGGTGGCTCCCTGTCGCTGTGCGCACTCCTAGGGGGGACATCAAAGGCATATCCCTTGCAAATTTGTGCAGGCCAGGGGCAGGCTGCCCACTGAAAGCCTGGGCTCCCCTCCCTGCTGCCCTCTCTTGGGGCCTCAGTAGCCCAGCAGGCGGGACCCGGTCGGGCAGGGCAGAGCAGGGTGGAGAAGCTTGGTGCCGTCACTGCAATCCCCACGACGCCATGGTGAAGCACCCCCTGCCTGCCTTGCAGCAGTGGGGGTGGCGGCACAGAGTTATGCCCTTCATTGCTGCTGTAATGGAGCTCCCAGTGGTGACAAGCTTCCCCACCCAGCTCCACTTTGCCCTGCCATGCTGGGTCTTGCCTCCTGGGCTGCAGAGGCCCCAGGAGGAAGGCAGCAGGGTAGGGAGCCCCAAGCTCACAGGAGGCAACCCACATTTCCCCAGCCCCCACCATGGACTCTACTCTGGCCGTGCCATTCGTGAGGGAGGGGGAGCCAGGCTCCATGCTCCGCCACAGCAGCTGCTGCCTCCTGCAGGTGACAACCAGGGTTCTGATGCTGCTGTGGGGGCCAGAGGGCTGTGGACCTGGGTCCCTGACCCCACAGCCCTAGCAGCTGGGTGCCCCTTCCAGAAGGGCTGGGGGGGTCGGGGTGGGGAGTGAGGGCTCCCAGTCTGTGGAGCACTCTGCACTCACTGGTTAGCACAGTGAGCTCCCCCAGTTGGGAGCCCCAATCAGCTGAGCATGCTTCCAGCTACAGGAGCACAATGTGCCTTGCCCCCCTCAAGGCTAGGAGTGCTAAGTCACTGACAAGACAAAAACTCTGTGAAATCAAATTTTTAAAAGCTGAATTTTGTTTAATGTTTACCTGCTTAATACCCTTGCATATTGAAATATGCCGTGGGTGGGGAGGGAGGGCCACCAGCTGGGCTCAGAGGGCTATGGGTAGGGAGTGAGGGGCACCGGCAGGGCTGTGGGTAGGGAGTGTGGGGCAATGGCATGCGCAGGACACCAGCATATCAGGGCTGCTCAGCATCACAAAGCGAGAGGCAGAGCAAAGTGCAATTATTACAAACCCATATCCAAACCCAATTCTTTATATCAGGAGTACAAACAGACAAAAGGTCTAGTCCAGGCAGCTATACCACCTGGCCCATGAATCTCTGGAGAAACCCCACGCACTGATGCTGTCCCCATATGCTGCATGCAGCACACACCGCTGGATTGGTCCTGCATGCTGGCTCTGGGGCCAGTCCAGATCAGCCAGACCATAGGACTATTCTAGCAGAGCACCACATGAAGCATGCACCCCAAGCCTGCCCCCCGCACTGCATGCACAGTGTACACTCTGCATGGGCTGGACCCTGCCCTGCATGTGGCACAGGAGGTCCAGGGCATGGGTTGCATGAGGTACCCCCCTGGACTGGCCCTTTCGACTGGCTCCAGTGCAGCCCAATCTGGACTGCCCAAGGGGCCGGCTGCAAGGCTCGGCTGGAGAGACACCACATGCAGCCTGAGTCCCAGCTGATCCTCTGTGTTGTCTGCAGTGCCAGATCCAGCCTGTACACTATGGGCAGCAGCCTGTGCTGGCTCTGCATGTTGCATGCACAGGAAGACTTAGGGCTGGTACATGCTGCATGCAGGCTGGAGCAGGGCTGCAGGCCCAGTGTCCCTCATCCAGCTCATGGGGCCAGAACTTGACACCTCATCACTACAGTCACAGTTGGGCGCCATGCAATAGCTGTTTTTAAAAGATTTCTAATTAAGGGCATTTATATTTATTTAGTCACAGTTGCTCTCAGGGATGCTACATATGCTTGCTTTCCTTAGTGTGGCATTCACCCGAGAGAACTAACTGAAGGAGCTTACTATACAGACAAACTGAGATCTTGGGCTGCTGACAGATGTAAAAAAACCCAACCTAGTGCTTTACTGTAAACTCTGCGTGCCCCTGCACAGAGCCCAATGCAGGCCCAGAAGAGATGGAGTGTTACTTTGACTCGGTTTGCCCAATGTTTGTAAAGATGGGGTGTTTCAGGGAGCTTTTTTGGCACTTTAATCTAATTGCTGATTGAATCAACTGTAAATAAAAGCACCAAAAAGACCCACTGAAGTATGTGATCTATACAGATGCTGCAGAGCTGGGTTAAACTAACATGATGCCTCTTTTGGGCATGTGCTGGACTTGGCGTGGGGGCACGCAGAGTTTAAAGCAAAGCACCATTTTTTTCACATCGATCAGCAGCGTTTAAGTCTACATTGAAATTTCAAGGTGCCAGTTTTAGGGGGCGTTTAAAAGACTCCACTTAATCCTGTTTTCTATGAATTTCAGCCAACTTTTCCTGTAGATTTAGTTTAAATTGTTACAGCCTCAGTTTTGCTTTTGCTTTATGAAACAAAGTAAAAGGTCCCACTCTAATTTGCAAAAATATTTGGGCTTTTAAAAAATTGCTGACCAACCACCACACTAGCTTTAGTACTTTAACAAAACATTAGTGACTAAGTTTTGTATCTGATATTAAAAACCCAAGGATCCTGAAACAGGCTTATATGAACCGTAAGATAAATTAAATTTGAGGTTTTGAACAAAATCAGATTTGCTGAATTTTGCTATAATTTCTCAAGTTCTAGTTTTATCTTCTCAGTTAAAAAACAGATCTTTCTGCATCTTTGAAAATCACTGAGCAATAGTGCTACCCAAGTCCTTGGATCATATTTGATATTTAGCCTCAAACAGAAAAATAATCTACACTAGAAAAATCACCTGTCTTGAAAACGGTAGGGCAAGATGGCACCTTAGAGACTACCTGGTTCAGAGAAGCATCAGTCAGGAAGAAACTGTGTAGTTTTAGAAGTAATAAAGACTACCAGGACTGATTATTCATTGGTTCTCTCAGGGTTTAATAAGCAAACTAAATATTTCTAATTATGAGCTCCCCATAGTTCTTTAAAAAAAAAGAGGCAATAAATTTCAGCACGTTTTATGTTACTTGCTCCTAAAGTAAAAACTCCCTCCATCTTCCAGGAAGTAGACCGTTGAGACATCTCAACATAACTCAAATATGTGTTCAAATATATATATTTATGCTACCCTAACTTAGTCTCAAGGTTAGATTCACGTGCTTTTGCAGTCAGAGGCAAAAGGCAGCAAGACTAGAACAGTCTATGAAGCTCTCAGAGATACTTACACTGTGGGTGGACAAGAACCCAAGAACCAGAGAGAAGAGACAGGGATCATTATTACAGATAGAGCTGGCAGCTCCACCTATTGCTGAGGCTGCCCAACCCTGTTACAAGGAAAATGTTCTGGATGCACTGTATGAAGAAAGGGGGCTTAAAAGAAAGTCTATCATGGTATCATGTAATTATGGATTAATCCTACCATACATAGGAAGCTGTTTTATGAATGCGCAAGTAGCCTTCATTCTGGCATTTCTTAACTTTTGAGTGCCTGCCTGACTTTGCAACCTTATTTTCAACTATATAAACATTCATGAAGAGAACATGAAAAGGAAATGGAGTGCACTCAACAAAAAACATCCAGCACTTTTTATTAACTCAAGTCATTGAATGGTGTCAAATTGTTCATGTTAAAGACTGTTTTTTCAAACCACCCATGGAAAATAGGAATTAAAGTACAAGCTTCCAAAAAGGTGGTCTAGGAAAAGCGAAGCACAACAGGAATTTGTAAAGAGCAGAGCAGGTTCCATAATTAATTTGGCATGGAAAATGCTGGTAAACTGAGTAATATATTTAACTAGTATCTAGTAAAATAGTTTGCTTAAAAGGAAATAAAAAGCATTTCTGATGAATGATATTTTTACCATGGTTTTCATTGATTAGGCTAGTAATCAATCAAACCAGATGGACAGAAAGCTCCCTATCATTACTCAGCCTGTTACTGAACTGAACTGTTTTCTGTTTCTTTGTAAGAGCACAAAATCTGTGACAAGGGGTGGGATACAGATAATTCATCAAATTCCTTTGACTAAACACAATTTTCTTTTACAGCAAAATTTTCCTTATATATGCACTATAGTGAATATCACCAAATATTCAGTCAGCCAGGTCAGAACGCTCACGTAGGTTCTTAGACAG